TGAATTTTATCCATAAGGATAATTATTTTTTAGCCCATGTTCCCTTTATAATCATCTGAAGATCACAAATCGTGTATCATCGTGACAGCACAGAGAATAATTTATTGATCACAAGTATTTAATTGTTAATCCCTTGTTGACCAGCCAAAGAGTAACTACATATTTAATATTATCTATGCTGACCAATGTATATTTTAGAACTGTTAACTAGTAATTTTTTTTCAAAGGTAAGATTTAATATTATGACGTCCGTTTCAAGCATTTTAGTCAAAATGATATATTAGAATAAGGTCACTGTAAATTAATACACATTTTTCCACTACCGTTCACAATTAGACTCGATGAGTGATGGGATTAAGTTTGTTTAAACTACTTTAGTCGAGAACAATGCATGTGCATTCCATGGTTGTATTTTAATATAAACAATAAAGAGATTGTAATCTGGTGACCGAGAAATTGTATCCGCGCAATGTACACACTATAAGATCCCACGCACAACCATTTTGTTAAACAAAAAAAATGTCCAAAATGTTTTTCTTTTACGAATGGTTTTAACAATATTAGGGAATAAAAATATTCATCTTAATTCGGTCTAAAGTTGTCACAGTGTTCAAATTCCGTTAATATTTGATAGTATAGTTTTGTTATTCAACATAATCAGAATAAACAACTGCATATTATATTAATAAATAACATTTAAATTAAATATATTTTTAGTTGTTGATTTTTTTTCTTTTGTTTTAGTTTTTTGATGGCCTAGAATATATTATAATATTTAACATATATCGAATGCGTTACTATTTGTTGAAAAATAAAAAATAAACGTTTAAAGGAAATAATACACTTTGATGTATAGCGCGCGATAAGTCGTAATGTAACTTTTTGAAGTATATTCGCAAGAAAATGTTTATCAAAAGTAAAACACGTATAATATGTATTATGAATTTTCTGGTGGTTGAATGAAATATTTTTTAATTAATCATTATAATGCTATATTGAGTATTTCAAAAATAAGATCATGCATATTATTATATATTTATTTTACTAAATAAAACATTAAATATTTTACTAGATAGTGCACACTGCACGTGTATTGCTTAGTGCTTATGTTTCAATTTTGATAATCATTTTTTTAAGAAATTAAACGCTACATTTTTTTATTCATACTATTTATAAAAATCTTCATGTTTGAATATTATTTATATATCTAGTTAAAATTGCAGTTTACTATAAACACTATAAAGCGAAATGCTATAAAACACAACCATAAACATTTGGGAATATAGATAATTGAAAATTTAATATCGTTCCATTCAAATAATTGGGTAACTTCGGTGAAGTTTTAATGGTGTTTGTTAATAACTATAAAAACTATTGGGAGCCTATTATTTTAATACGAATAATCATCGTATAAAAATACAAGTCATGATACATTATCCGTTAGCCTTAACACTTAATTATCTCATAAACCTGAAAAGTAAAAATGATTTTATATTGACGCGTTATATCAGAAATATTCTTTTCATAATATATTGCTTTTTTTAGTTCTTTTAAGTTTACATGCAGTAAACAAAACTATATAAGCTCTTGATACATAAACTTCAATAGATGATTAATATATTCTACAGTAATCAAACCGTGTATTTGAATTCTGATTAAGTAATGAGTGAAATATTCAGTGTCATAATTGTATATTATATCGTACCCGACTAATTAAATTTTATTCTTTTATTTATTGACATTTAATTTTCAACAGGGTTTTGCCTAATACAATATAGTCTTTAGTTTTTGCACCATATATTACTCGTTTTCACTACTCCTCCAACATCGAAGAAGCACTCGGGGAAACCAACACCGATGCTATCTTCAACTTTTTTAATGCCATCAAAGTATCCAACCTATTATAAAAAATCTGCAAATACTACTGTTTTATTTATTTATTTATCATTACTATTTTATGTTATTTATCTACTTATTTTGTTTAATTACTATGTTACTATGTACATAAGACTGTATCAATATTTCTAAGCTTTTAATCTACCATTGTAAACCTTTTCAGGCTAATGACCTMCGATGTCGAAGCCTTATTCTAAATAAATAAAAAAAATTACTCGTTTTCATACCATTCCCAAGTGTATTCTAAACTATAACAATATTTGACTTTTATAATTAAACTGACAGCCCTGATAAGTGATAATAATACACGAAACCTACTCCAATGTCGGTACTCTAGTGCATTACGCAATTCTAATCATAATTCAGATCATGTAATGGATTAGCCGCCGTCAACCTATTAATTGATCTGTTAGATTTTACAACAGCGTGATTCTATTAAATAAAAACCAATAGACCGAAGAACCCTCAAGCTAAGTAGTAAAAGTGTGGAAAGAGAATGTCTAGAAAGTTATAGTGAGCAGATTTCAAATATTTTAATGTGATATTACAATTATAGTAATATTATTATGATCGATACGGATTTTTAAGTACTTATTTTGCCTATATAATACGCCGTGTAACATTTTATGGTTTATAATATTAACATAATTTTGAAAATCACATCCGGTATAATATGCTAAAAAAAACCCACAGTCGTTGTTAACTATTACATAAAATATAGGTAACACATTACTCACTGGACTTGAGACATTAATTCAAGAATTAAATTAATTTAATTACTATAGGTAGGTAACTAATTTTATTATACTATTTTACACGGATTTAAAAAAAAAAAATTATAAAATTATTTATCAATTTTTTTCCAAAAGAGTATTAGATCAAAATAATAATAATTATGTTTTGCATTTTGATATAAAATATTGGTAATTATGATTATAATCGTGGATTATTATTTATTTAAAAATCCTGTCATAAAGTATTTTTTTTCATCAATAATTATGATTTACCATATTTTTATTAACTTAATATATTATATTTTATTGGCCTCATAAATTAAAATAAATGTAGTGGAATTATTTTAATTAAAACAATTAATTAATTTAATACAAATTAATTAGTCTAGGTTTGAATAAAAAAACTTTGAAATCTATAATTTTTTTATTACCAAAATTATTGTAAAAACTAATAAAATCAGCAATATATTTTTTTAAATAATTTACTCAAAACAAAAGTTTATTTAAGTATACGAGATCTGGGATGTAGTATAAATTGACATTAATTACCATAGGGTTTACATATTTTTAAATTAACCTATTTTTATATTTTAATATAAATTTTTCGTTCTACGCACTTATTAAATTAAACCGTGACATAGTTGCATGTACACTGTAAAATAATATTGAACTTGTACCTATATAATTATAGACGTCATTAGTTTATTTTTAATCAGTACATTTATGAAACATAAAAAAACAGATGGTAAAATTTAATTTTTGACAAGATACTACCTATTATATTGAAAAATGCAATTGAAGTAAAGATGAGCGGTAAAATGTATAAGTTGGTGGTTACAAAATAAATTGATTGGTATTCTCGTAGTAAAAAATAATCAAAAAAACATTTATTTCGGAGTTTCAGTTTCTTAAAAATCTTTTCTTACTCAAATATTCTATACTATTGACATAATATTATAGATATATATTACAAATAATGATGAAAAAAAATTGTACAAACTAATAGTTGCCTATTTACATAATTTAAGTTGTATTTCCTACATGAAACTATATACGTATATAAAATATATACATAAGGTCAGATATCTGTTATATAAGACAGTACATACTAAATAGATTACATCGTATTTATTGAGTTGCTAAAGAATCCTTAGCGTGAAATATACATTTTTCATGTATACACGATCAGTTATGAATTATGTTATACAACATTTTAATCGTAGCAAATCGAACATAGCAATTAATTATGAATTAATATTATTGTCGAGTGATCCTGCAGAGCGATAGTAAGGTGGTCTATTAGGGACTATATACATTTCGGGTGATTTTGGTTTCGTTACAACTTAAGACTTTCTAAACGCAAACGAACGAATTGGACACCGAAAAACGTGCACTTATAGGTATAATATTAATATATTATATTATTAACTCAGCAGCTGGTGTGTTTTCGCTGACATCGTGACATGTCGTGCACCGAAACAATAAAATGCCAACACGGCTTCGTTACCGAATCGGAACTGCTGCAGCAGTTATTAAAAATATAATATTACAAGTGGTTAGCTGTTTAAAATAAGGTATATCGACGTAATAATGCATTAAACTTTATTATGTATACCGTTATACCTATGTGATGACGGCTCGTAATATATTATTGTGTATTATTGTGTTATACACCACGACTAGGTACTAAAACATTTATTTTTTACATTTAGTATTAAATTTTAAGATAATCTGAATGAAATTTGTATTATAATATTGTTACTTATCAGATATGTGAATTTAGGGTACAGTTGTATTAAATGTACTAACAAAACCAATGACGGTGTCGTATCATATCGTATAATACCATTACACATAGGCGCAAATAAAGGCAGCTGGAGGGCTTAGCCTCCTTTAGAACTGCTATAGCCCCCCCTCCCCAAATCTTACGATTTTACAACAATACATTGGAACTTGGCCGCGTGTAGTTTTTGCTGATTCGATCCCCCTTCTCCAAATTTCAAACACTATTTGCGCCTATGTTATTACATAATATATTATTACTGATTTATGTGTTTTGAAAAAAATACTGTAAAACCCAGATACCTACCGTATTATCCTCATATAGATCACTATTATAAAAATAAAAAAACAGTAACGAATGTACTAAAAATAGGTAAATAAATAATACGAATAGCAATATTATATAATAATATGATGTAATACATAATAGTTGTATAATAATATCTGTATTTCATTATATACGTCGATTAAAAATGAATTTAAATAACATGACCACATCGAATATAGTGTTTTGTATGAGAAAATATACGAATACGCGAGACCGGCTTATAGGGTCTATTATAAACGGTTTGCTTTAATCAKACTTACTATTTTAAGTGGTAGCGTCATCTTGCGCAACCCTTCACTCTGCAACAACAATCATATCGTTAATATTTTCTCATAAAATTAAATATTATATGTGCACTTAACAAAAATCAACTTATTATTGGGTTCGTAAACGGAGAATTATTTTTAGATGACCGTAATTGTAACCGTTTGATACGAATGAGAGCATAATATTAACTTTTGAATGCTATATTTTTTTCCATTGAGAAAACATTTAAAAAATTACGTTGTTCTTGCGATATTTTTTTAATAAAATTAATATAATGGTTCTACGAGTTCGTATTTTATCTAACATTATGTTTTATGCGTGAATCTATTCTTGCGATTGTTTTTGTAGTTGCGTCTAGTATAAACAATGACCTATTTATATTTGCACGTCTTAAAGTATTATATCATCAAACAGAAAATTTTATATTAAAAAAAAAAAAAATACTACATAATTAAATTATTATAATACTAAAGAATGCGTTTCGCTTTATGAACTCCCTAAATATTGTTCGAAATAGTACCTATATTAAATGTTATAAGGTTATAACGTATAACGTACATACTTTGTAAATGGTATTTTACTATGTTTATAATATTCTAACAATAGTAAAACAATAACGCACATTGTATACTATATTTGTAATAATTATTTTAAAAAAGGATTACGAAAGATTGAATTTCTTATAATGTTTTTCTTCTACACACTAATGTACTTATATTGCCTACATGTAACAATATGTTGCAAAAATAGTTACATTCATGGTGATAATATCGTGTATTTTATTTTTTCAAAATATTTTGTGAAAATTTTAACCATTATCGTCAGTATTTTTAACTATCCACCAACTTTGATAGATTTTTTTTAACATGAGTTATTGCTTAAATCGTTTTGCCTAGGAAAGAAACAATACTTCTAATAGTATAGTAAAATACATTATATTTATATTATATAAGTATATAACTCAGATTGCATTTGAGAAATGATGGTCTTTATGACATTTTTTTTTTAAATGTGACCGAAATTAAAATGTTTTTGTAATATATTTAACATCATCATATCTTCTAAATGCTAAATGAGAACCAAMTAAATTAAGTCTTAGTATTTTTGTGTCTGTAAAAATAATAAAATAAATGTTAGTCAAATTGATAAATATTAATTGTTCGATATTATTAGACGTTTTATTGCGTTTTAAATTGAAAACAATAACTGTAGACTGGCTGACATATATTTAAGACATCGCGACTTAAGAAAACGTGTTTTCTCATGGGTCAATTTGTTTTTTGATATTTTTACTTTTGAGTATTATAATTGTAAAGTCATAAGTTACAGAAATGAAAAATATGGGCTTATATTGTTAACAATTAATCGTTTATTTCTATTTACTGTACACACATACCGATGATTTAGACTATTATTTTAACAAATCAGGAAAAATAAAGCTTAATGTTGTCATTGTCGGAAGAGGTAAGCTCATATAAACGCACCTATTTAATTGAGTATACATTATCTAAACGGTTTTCATCTCTAAAGACGCTGCTGTAACTGTATACCGTATAACGCTAAAATCACCATAATCAACTATATAACTAAATTACTATAACATTCAGCAGCTGAGAAAACAACCGCGTAAATGTGATTACCTTGTGTTTAAGACATTTATAAGTACCGACCGGCTGTACTGCAATGTACCCACGGTAATATCCTATATTTCGGTATTTAAAATTTCCACGGTAAATAATTAAAACACAGATCTTATTATGATATTATGCAGGCTAATTTCTATTGAAAAAACAATTATTTATTTTGACGATAAATCTGGCCAGTTGGCTGATGATTTGTTGGGATGACAATCGAAAGACATAACTATTTTTTTAAAGTATCAATATATTAATATGTATTTTGAATACTTTTTTTTAACATGTTCGGAATATGCGTATTCAAAATACTTTTAAAAATTATTTTACCCAAGTTTGCAAAAATGTTGAAAAATATCAAACCTCCGTCCAAAAAACATCTTCGGACGTAGATGTTCATTTTTAGCAGTGGCGTTTGTACGTCACTCAAACCGTCATTGATTTTTAGTAAAATAAAATAACTATAAATATAGTTAAAACTATATTAACAATTGACATACAAATGGAGATACTGTGTATAAAACAGAAAAAAACGAAGATTATAGTACAAATATTCGAATGTAGTTCACAATTTGTGAAAGTATTTAACATTTGGAGTGTAGCGATAAAATTTTTTTTTTGCAATAAAATATAGTTTAAAGTGCGTACACCCAAACATTTGTTCACCAATACACCACTGACAATTAGCATATGATAACAATGTCCCTAACGCTCTAATCTCGATCACATTCAAAAATCAAAAAGTTCTCACCCGTTAAATCTCATCGTAATAATATGAAGTATGTGAATGCAATAACAATAACAATGGGTAATACTTAAATAATAATATTTGTTCATCGACGTGTGCATATTATAGAATATAAATCCTACATTATATTATTATTATTATTATTGTACATACTGACCTGTGAATTATTATGATATTTTAACGGCAATAATATTATTATTATTATTATTATTATTGATGTTGTTGTTATAAATCGCCGACGAAAAAATCGCTATATAGTCAAATGATCAATTTGCCATCTGACGGTGGCGGCGGAGAAGACGACGACCAAGACGAAGGAATTCGCGACGGCAATCGTAGACACTGTTGACGACGACGACGACGACGACCGCGCGAGAGATGATGGGCCGCGCGCGCCCGTGTCCCGCCGGCCGAAGGGGTGTGCGTTCACTGTTCGTCGTGTGCGTCCGGACGGCGCGCGCGGACCGCGTTTTCGCGACACCCCATTGGCGGCCGACCCGACTCCGTCACCGCCGCCGCCGCCGAATATGTTTTACGCACACGTTTTGCCGTCGAGTGTTTGTTGGCCGTATTATAGTTGTTATTAGTTGCTCCGGTTCGGTATTTTTCTGTATTTCTTCTCGACGTTCGTTTTTTTTCCTTTTTCTTTCGGAAACGACAATGCCGGAGACGGCGACAACAATAATATTAATACGATATAATTATCGGTATTATTATTATAATTATAACGTGCCCCAATAGGTCACGTGTAGGCGCGGTGATGAAGAAAATATGGTGCACATTTGCAACTATATTGAGATAAAAATAATTATAATAATAATAATTTTATTAATAATAACATATACCTAGGTTTGTAATATTATTGTAAGATTTTAACAACTGCAGAGTCCACTGACAGTACCGAACATACTATATTATAATCTATTATCCAAATGTGTTTGAAGAAAAAAACGCTTAAGATATGGGTACATTTTTAATTTAAAGATAATTCGGTTGTTTTTCCTCAGAGACCCTTCAGTGAAAATGTTCCAAAAACTAATTTTAGATTCTGAGCGGAGCGATGAATGTATTGATTTTACCATGATTATGTGTGTTTTTATTTTAGATTCTGAATGGAGTGATGAATGTATTGATTTTACAATGGTGTGTGTGTGTGTGTGTTTTTTTTTTGTGTCTGTACAGCATAACTAGTCGAAATAATGCTTCAATTTCAAACATTGGGGGTGCTTTTCGATGTAAAAGTAAATATCCTTGGTGCATTATAGAGGTCAAAAGTAAACATTTTTCAACAGTTTTCAAAAAAATCGAGAAAAACAAAAAAAACGGGAATTTTTACGCAAAACTAGTTTTCGACCAAATCAATTTTTTTATATGGTTGTAACTGAAAAATTAATCACTGTAAATACTTGAAATTTTCACCAAATATTTATGTTAGTGTTATCTATATACAGTTCAATTTTCAAAAATTTTCAAAATTTTTTGACTTTTTTTGAGTTATTTATAGACCACTGAAATTTTCGATTTTTATGAGAATTTTTTTTTGAATTGTCGGTAAAAAAATTTTGGATGAATGACCAAAAAACTTGAAAATTTAATACAAGGTTCCTTATGAGTTGTTTTTATAGTGATTAAAAAATTATAAGAATACTTGGGCCCAATTTTTTTTTAAATCTAAGATTAGTAAGATTTGAAAATTTTTAATAATCTGTAATATATTCTAGACAGATAAACCGTCTCCGCTCAGAATAGTTTTTCGTATACTATGATATAATATCATTGGTTTCAAATTTAATTCCATCCATTACAGTAACCCACTTGTAACCTACTGTACATCAGAGCGACATCCACGACTTGCCGGCTTTTTTATTTTTGTTGTTGTGATTAAATGAAAATGTTTAGTTTTTTTTTTTATTTATTTGTATAATACGATGTAAACTATTGAACAACTTTTTTTAAAGTAGATATCTTGAATTTTTTATTAATTCTAAAAGTATCAAGTGTCAAGAAGCTGAAATACCCGAATTAAAAGGATATTGCATCATGTATCCAGATGCTTTATTTGGATATCTTTCCCAAAACTGAATATATTTTATATAATTTTTTCACAATGGCTGCTATAACCTGTAAACGCGTCTATACCGATAAAATACAATGCATGTTCTTTTCGACGATGCATATAATTATAATATACTGTTAGCAATAAATTTTTCTGTATTAATATAAAAAGTAGAAAGAAAAAAACTAAAGGTTAGATAATATTTTTCCTTGTTATTTAGGGAAATGTAATTTTTTTTCAATATAAATCCCATTCGAAAATCAAAAACCAGACTTGTTTAAATTTATTTTATGACACTATAGTTTTTCATTTATGGTAAAGAAACGTTTTTAGGAAATAATTGCAATTTACGTTTCAAAGTACCAATTATTACTATCCAACTAGGCCGATTGTAAATTAATTTTTGGATAGAGAAACTTGAAACTTTTTTAGTATTTCCAAACAAGCATCTACATAAAAACTAAAAGAAAAAAATAATAATAACAAAAGAAACATTATTGCCAGGTTGTGATTATTATTATTAATTATCTATGGTATTTTCGTAGCTGTACTTATATTTCCTAAGGTAGATCACATTACAGAATATCATAATATCAACAAAAACACCCAACATGGGTAGTTGCAGGTAGTTGTAGTTGTCTAATTGGTTCCCATTTAAAAATAGAGATCTAATTGATGTGGCTAAATTTGTTGGTTTCCATTTAAATTTGGAATGTACTCTACTCCTGTTGGTTACCAATAAAATAATCGAGAGCATAATAATTATTTTATTCCAATTTTTAAAGGCTCGGGACTGCATATTTTAAATTTATGATGATGAAGTATTTATGTTATTATTTTATTTAAAAAAAAAAAAAAAACAGTCCTTCAAAACTAATACATCCATTTTATATCAATTAATTAATTAAAAAATGATTTTGGTAGTAGATACATAGGTAGGTACCTACTTAATCTTGCACTAAAGCTGTATTTTTTATATTAATATTATTCTATTCGAAGAAAAAAATATATACCTGATAATAAATAGATGGATAGGTACTCAAACTTTTGAGCTTAACTATATCTTGATTATTGATGTGGTACCTATTCAGATACAAATAATTATAAACAAGTTATAGGTATAATTATTATCTGTGTTGGGTAGTAACGTAACGAAAGTAACGCGTTACGTAATTTCATTAGAATTATTTCAAAGTAACGAAAATGTAATGGAAATTACTTTTGATAAGTAATTTCTATCGAATAACGCGCTACAATTTCGAATTATTAAGTACCTACCTTTTGCGAATTGAAAAAAAAAAAATGTCTTTAATGTGGATATTATTATGTTTACCAATCTGGTATAGTAATATATACTATATATATTTATTAAAGCTCCTTATACAGCTGTTATCACAATTTTGAATTCAATGACATTAGTGAAGAATATTTTTATTAAATACAACACAGCTTTACCATCCAGTGCTTCTATAGAGCGATTATTTAGTGTTTCAGGGGACATTGCTAAACATTTCCCACTCGTTACCGGGTTTTTGAACGGAAAAAAGGGACATTTGTTTTAAAAAAAGGTAAAGTTAAATTATGTAAAGTTAATTTAAAACATAAATAAATATAAAATAATAATATTGTATAGTATTGATTATAGTATATTTATTTCTTTTTCAAATTATATCTATTTTCTACAGGTAATGTATTTCTAGTAACATTATTGCCAGGCACAATGATAATATTGTTAAGAAATATAAAAAAAAATTTTTTTTTTTTTTTTATATAACGAGAAAGTAATTAGTTACTTTTCAATTTGAAAAGTAATTTACCCAACACTGATTATTATTTAATAAAATATAGTTGGGGAACTACAGAATATATGTTATACTGTTATACTTACATGGGTAAGTTGTAAGTAGTATATTAGTTTTAGTGAATCTAGGTAAAAATGTCCGAGGAAAAAATGTTCACGATAAAAATGTCCGTGGTAAAATGGTCCACAAACAAAAATGTCCATGGTAAAATTGTCAAGAAAAAAAAAATAAATATAATTTACACAAATATTTCCTAATTAAAATGTATAAACGTCAATGATAAACATTTTAAAAAGTTGTCAATACTTTTTTCATTATTGTTGTACTCCTCACATACTTTTTTTAAATTTTAATCGAAAATAGGATAAATATGTACAGGTTAAATATAATATTATACACAGTATACCTACATAATAGTAGAACTATCGGGCAGAGACTTGATAAACTCAACCAAATTCAAGTACATGGATGAATGGCAAAACCTTTGGTCGAAATGTGATTACAATAAGCTAAGGGAAATAAAACAATCGATACTACCATGGCCCAAATCATTTGAGATGTCCAAAAGAGACGAGGTAATTCTTGTCCGCCTACGAATAGACCACACGCGCATGACACACGGATATCTCATGGCCAAAGAAGACCCTCCATCATGCCTGACGTGTGGAACAATCATCACAGTCAAGCATATACTAACAGAATGTCATAAATTCAGTGAAAGGCCCATTGAACTAAAACTACCCGATACACTAAACGAGATGCTATCACCCACTCCCGAAACGACCAAAAAACTCCTCAAATTCGTCAACTCAACAGAACTGCGTCAACTGATTTGAATATTCTAACTTAGATTAAAATGTAAATCTTTAAATATAGGTAATAAGTAGAAATTAAGCAAATATGTAAGTAATTAATATAAATTTAATACGTAACGCCGGCTAATAACCATGTAGTTGATGCCATAAACAATTAATAAAAAAAAAAAAAATAGTAGAACTAAATGCGCATTTACAACATTGACTAATAATATAAAAAAAAAATTATTAATTAGGTGTTACCTACGTATAATACGTTGTAACAAAATTGTCTCGATAATATCTTATCGTAATAACCGTTACCTACATTATGTTAATCACAAATTAGGTAGGTAATTATAAATGTCTTCAGGTACCTATTCACAGTCAYAGTAAAGAAAATACACAGCCATACAGTGTTTTTTTTGAAATGGTTAACTATATTGTGATACAGGATGTCCCCATTTTATTATATAACGATCAGTCAATTTTTCGATTTTGAAAAATTTTACCACGGACATTCTTGGTTTGGGACATTTTCACCTCGGTTTCGGACATTTTTGATTTTGGACATTTTTTTTCGGACATTTTTACCGTGGACATTTTTGTATAGTACCAGTTTTAGTAGTGTCATAAATAAAGGCGCAACTAGGGGGGTGCTTGGAAGTGCTTCAGCACCCCAGCCGTTAATTTAGCACCCCCAAATTAAAATGGAAAAATCATATGAAAAAAGTTTTCTTTGTTATACGTA